ACAATTAATTTAATAAGTAAAATGTGTCTGCATTTATATTTGTTCTAAGAGCTATTGAGCTGGAAAATCAAAACAAAAGTCATATAATTGGACTTTCATTGAATAATTTATATGATTATTTGTCCTATAACTTTAACAGAATAGAAGAATGACAGATTAAATAACACTGTCTTAGTAGCTTTGTCATGGATTGAATTGTGTCCTCCAAAAATGTGTGTCAACTTAGCCAGGCCATGATTCCAAGTATTGTGTGACTGTGTACCATTTTGTCATCTGATGTGATTTTCCTATGCGTTGTAAATCCTACCTCTATTACGTTAATGAGGCAGGATTAAAGGCAGTTATGTTAACGAGGCAGAACTAGATCTACAAGATTAGGCTGTGTCTTAAATAAATCTCTTTTGAGATATAAAACAGATAAGTGAGCAGAGAGATGTGGGGACCTCATCCCACCAAGGAAGTGAGCCAGGAGTAGGTCCTTTGGACCCGGGGTCCCTGTGCTGAGAAGCTCCTAAATCAGGGGAAGATGGATGACAAGGACCTTCTTCCAGAGCTGACAGAGAAAGAAAGCCTTCCCCTGAAGCGGGCACCCTGAATTTGGACTTCTAGCCTACTAGACTATGAGAGAATAAACTTCTATTTGTTAAAGCCATCCACTTTGGGTATTTCTGTTATAGCAGCACTAAATAACTAAGACAAGCTTATTGTATCAAAGCTTCAAATATATTAAATATATATGTCCTTAACATCCTCTTACACATAAGTTAATGAAACATTTGCTGACCAGGAGCACATAATAAATATGCAGTGAATAAATGAAAGAATAAGTGACATGACAAGTAAATTCTAGATAATTAATTTTAAAATATTTTTCTGTAATCACAGTACTAAGGGTTTGATTACAGGCTTAAAATTAATCATTACATTTTTTCAGAAAACTAAATTAATCTAAAAATGTTTACATAAAGTAAGAGCATTAAATGTAATGGCAATGTTATTTTTAATTTTTTGGTGTTCATTATAAATTCTTAGAAATTCACATCTTCAAAAACATATAGTTACTTTTTTTCCCTGATCATTATATGACTTTAATTGGAAAAAGTATAAACCATAAATTTTAAAATGACACATAATATCACCCCTTAGAGATAATTATGGGAAAATGCATTTGTTTTAATTTTATAAAGTTAAACTTTCAAACTCAATTATTCTGAGGTGTGAAATTTGAAGCGTTATGCACTAATGCCCCTTAGTGGTCAAATTCCAGAATAGCAAGTTAAAACCAAAGCAGATTTGAATAAAAATTAGTAATGAAATTAAATTGGAAAATGCAAGCTTAAGCTTTTGAAATAAAAAGTTTAAAACATATTATTCCTTAATTAATTAGAACTTTTGGTATTAGTTTGTAGCAATTGATATTATTACAATTGTAATTATTTTTTTAATTTTATATATTTCTAATTGTAATTATTACATAATTACAACAATGATGTGAGCTTTGATAACTATGATAGCTACCAAAATATTTACATCTAAAATTTATGAGTTGGAATCAACTCATCGGCAACGGGTTTGGTTTCACGGGATTTTAGGGTACCTCTCAAGGAGCCCTGGTGGCTCAATGGTTATCATTTGGCTGCTAATAGAAGCGTTGGCAGTTCAACCCACCAGCCACTCTGTTGGAGGGAAGACCCAGTGATCTGCTTCTGTAAAGATGTCCGTCTACTAAACCCTATGGCGCAGTTCTACTCTGTCCTTAAAGGTTGCTATGAGTTCGAACCCACGCGATGGCAGGCATGACGGCACCTAACAACAACAGGGTACCGCACATGCATTTTGCATCCGTGCCTGTATCTGTCCTACACGGTCTTTTATTCACCCTAGTACTTTGCACCGTGCATGCCAGTGGTATGTGCTCAGTTCTTATTTTTAAGTGAATAAATGCTATTTGATTATTAAATGCTGGCAGAATTAAAACACTAAAACATTTAAAAAATGAAAAAAATATGCTGACATTTTTGCCTATTTTTGCCTATGCAATTTTGAACAGTAGACAAATGCAGTCAGAGATGCTGCTTCCTTCACGTTTGCTGTCCCCAATGGTTGCTATCCCATTATGTTTTCATTCACTTAGCATTAGGTAGGAAGAGTCACTCTTTCTCAGTAGTCTACTGATGGGCCCAGAAGCAATTACCAGCCATCAGGACTATCTTCCAAAAAGCATATGGTAGATCAAACACACATGGTGTTTTTTACTCAAATTTTGGCTGTTATATTTAGCAGTGAAGTCTGATTTTGAAGTGGTCTAAGAAAATTCTATTTGCCTTAAAAGAGAAAGGAGGTACCAGGAAAAGCTTTATAGATTTTTCTTTGGTTCAAAAGATGGAATTAAATTTAATAATTTATTTTAAAATAAATTATTCTTATCTAGGCTACGTATATATATTTTTTTATTTTTTAGAGAACTGAATTCACCTCTCCATCTATAAACTAGTGAAAACATTCATTTTTTTTTACTCAGTTAAGTTGCATACTTTTATTAGTAATATGAATATTTTTTCTACCACTGATAGATCATTTTTGTCTTTATCTTTTTTGTGTGTGTGTGCTTTAGGTGAAAGTCTACAGCTCAAGTTAGTTTCTCATACAAAAATTTATACACACACTATTATGTGACCCTAGTTGCCATCTCCACAATGTGACAGCACACTTCCCCTTTCCACCCCACAATGTGACAGCATATTCCCCCGTCCACACGCGACATGGATTTCCTGTTTCCATTCAGCCAGCTGCTATCCCTTTCCACCTTCTCATCTCGCCTCCGGACGGGAGCTGCCCCTTTAGTCTCGTGTATCTACTTGAACTAAGAAGCACACTCCTCACGAGCATCATTTTATGTCTTCTAGTCCAGTCTGATCTTTGTCTGCTAGATCATTTTTGGTGGAACGAGATGAAACCTGAGTTGGGGAGTCCAGAATACGGGCCTGCAGTCAGGATTCTGCTCTGGATTAGCTGAGGGGCAACCTCATGAACTTCTGTGGATATCATATGCAAAAGTAGGTGTACAGTACGTAATGACCAAACTCTTCTATATTTTTATAGTCCAGTTTATTATTTCTTAATTAATATCCCAGTTATTTATTTTCCTTTCTTTTAAAGGTATTGGGCCTTTTTTTTTGCTTTTCCTTCCTTCCTTCATTCCTTTTTTTAAAGGGGGTAACATTTATTTACATAAACCATCACAATGTAATTTCTGTTTTAAGGAACATACATAGGCTCCAAATATTAAGTTGTAGCTTAATTTAGGGCAATTTAAGTCCCAAAATCTATTTACATAGATTTCATGGCAGCTATTAAATAACTACTTGTATTAACTATGGTTGTTGTGGAAAAGGATCAGCCCTTATGTAATTTAAAAATTTTCAGATGGTACTTTTGAAATTCAGCTTATAATACTAAAGAACTAAACAAATTCAGAAGTATATTTTTTTCAATAAGCTCTCTGTTTAGTCCACTTTTGCCCTTTTAAAATGATTAAAATCTGAGTGGCATTTGCTTTTCTTAACAAACAAAAAGAAATTAGAAGAAATTACTAAAAGTCTTGGTGCCAATTTCACTAATGTTGGGCATGCTTATGATTCAGTACTTGCAAATAGTTTCAGACATATAAGGAATAAAATATCAAATAATGTAATATTAAAATACACAGTAGTCATGTATTTTAATAGAGTTCTCTGCCAATTCACAGGATTTTTTGTTTGTTTTTGAAAGTATAAGTTTGGTTCAGAAACAGAAAGGCATTTGGTAAGCTTGCTGTAGATTTACAGTTACAGTTGGTCTAGTTATAGATGGACCAATTGAATTAAAAAGACAAGAGCCTGAAGTACAGTTAACATATGGAAGGCACAAACACTGATATAGTACTGATTGTTGCTCATGTGCATCTATTTAATAAAAATGTGAAAAGAAATGTCCCCGTGTAGTTAAAGCCTGTCTTCCTTAACTTGACTGACAACTTGCTTTGGATTTTTGAAGTTGAAAGTTTCAGAGGAGTTAAAAAACAAAACAAAACTGGAATATGTGAAAGCATAGTATTATTATAATAATATCATACTATAATATTATTATGTTGGTATAATATTATTAATATAATTCAAATTTTATAGGACTTAAAATACCTTAAATATTCTACTGAGTCAATAAAAAGTTGTATTTTTATATTAAATATTGATTTCTATAACTAAAACTAAACTTTTCTTGAAACCATATGCTCTAAATAGGTCTTTAGGCTTCTAAATGGTTTCCTTTGTAGAGAACAGACTAGTAGAACAGTGAATCAATTTGTTTTTTAAATACATTGTAACCCAGACAGCCTATGGTACACCAGTGATGTTCCTCTGAAAATTGTTATTCCTCCATTATTTCCTAGACTCTTGTCTCTATTTTATTGATTTCTATATATGGACTCTTTACATCACTATGTTTAAGTATAGGAATTGCATATGTGTATGCCTTCCAATTCTTAAAATAAAATACACACATTTAACCTCCTTCAAACCACAGTGGCTATTTCCTAAACTTTCCAACATATGTATCTTGTCATTTTTTTTTTTAACCACCAAATAATAATGTAAATGCTTTACTCATAACACAAGTATAAGTTCCATGCTTTTACTTCATTTAAAGGGAAACCGAAGGCGCTGGAACCTAGAGTCCATATATGCTGAGGTGTAATAAACAGCAATATGAAAATTGTATTGCCAATAAGGGGAGAAAAGTACCTACAGTTCAATGAACATTTATTGATTAATATCTTTACCAAAATTCTTATGGTTAGCCATTTTTAAAAAGGCTCAGTATGGCTACAACTAATTTAAAAAAACCATGAAAACCTTTTTAAACTTGCTTTTCCATCTCATTAAAATGATTATAGCAATAGAAGTTGCAGTACAGATACATACAGCTCATTGGGATGTTAATAAGATATTTTAAACACTTACCATAAAATTCCGCTGGTAATGTATATTCTCTTTGTTAAAATCAATCACATAGCCATTGAAGGACCAAACAAATGTGAGATCCAGAGCGGGATCGGCCGCAGCAGCACACTGCATGGTAGCATTTTCTCCAACAGTGATATCAGCGTTAATTGGAGCCAATATAATTCGTGTGGGATCTATACATTTTTTAAATAAAGGAGTAAAACACAATTCAAGAAAATATGAGACTCCATATTATCTGATACATTGAAAGAATATAATCAATACATTTTGATTTCTCTGTGCCACGGCACGGATATTTTAAACTCAGAATTCCAGGAACAACTTCGTCAAGCAAGAAACTTTCACAAAAGGGTTTTAAAATGGAAACTTATCAATACGTGGACTGCCTAGAGGCTTAAGGCTGATTCATATATCTTACAGAACACTAAGCAAATCAGGATGGCTGTTCAGTCTAAGGTGCTGCATTCAGGTCGCAGTCTCCCCTGGATGCATGGGTTCGAATCCCACTCCTGACAGTGCAAATTTTGGAGCCCTGGTGGTGCAGTGGTTAAGAGCTACAGCTGCTAATGAAAAGGTCGGCAGTTCAAATCTACCAGTCACTCCTTCAAAACCCTAAAGGGCAGTTCTACTCTGTCCTATAGGGTCGCTATGAGTCAGAATTGACTCAACGGCAATGGGTATAGAACATTAGAAATTAAGCACCACAAACTTAAAAAAAAAAAAAAAAACCACAATATTAACTGGATGATTTCTTACTTGTGATAACAAGAGTCCCAGTGCTATTAGCTTTCCCTCGATTATTTTCTGCAAAGCATGTGTAGATACCTCCATCGTTCCTTGTAATGTTATTGATTTCCAAGCTACCATCTTCCCAAATGAGTACTCTATTGAAATGAAAGAAAAAAACATGTAATTTACAAAATTAATTTAATGAAATACTTTATTATTCTACGTCTAAGGTTACATACTCTAATATCTTCCAATCATTACATTTTACACAAGTTAATTGACAGTAATACCAAGATTTTTTTAAGTGAAACATTCTAGCCTTTTTTTTTTTATTTTTAAATACTCTCTCTCAGCGTTATATAGTAGTTGGAGAACTAACAACTTTCATCTCTTTCCTGGGCTATTGCAAGAGATTTTTAACTGGCCTTCCTGCGTATACTTTTGCTGCTCTGTCGTCTCTTTCCACATGTTAGCCAGAGTGAGCCTTTAAAACATAAGTCCTATTATGTTGCACTACAGCTCAAAACCCTCCAGTGGCTTTCCATTTCCTCTAGAGTAAAAGCCATAGTCTTTTGATTGCCCTGTGAGGACCTGGACAATCTCACAATTTGTTCCTCGAATCCTTTAGCCTTTGTTCAAATGATACCTTCTCAGTGAAAGCTTCCCTGGACATTCTATTTGGTATTGTGTGAGCACAAGTGCACATACACACACACACACAGCATCTTGTTCCACATTCCAGGTTTTTTTTCCTGATACACATTGCATCTGACATACTTCCATTTTACCGTGAAATTCATCCCTCCATTAGATGGTAACATCCTGATATCAGGAATTTGCATCTGCTTTGTTTGTTTCCCCAGCACGTAACTTATGAGTTAGCTTATTTAATTTGTTAAACAAATATGTATTGAACAGCTACTGTGTGCTTGAAACTCACTAAGTAGTGAAGTACTAATCATTCAGCAGACATTCAATACACCTTTTTTGCATGAATAAACTACATGGAGTTTAACTGAAGCAAGTGGTTATCCAAACACCACCATAAAATGACATTAGAACCACTATGGGACAGGCTGAAACCACAGTGTCTGGTCTGAAAGAAATGAGCCCAAATCTTCTAGAAGTGGGACTTCAGAGCTTCAGTTCAGATTTAGAAGTTAGGATTTTCCTTTCCACTCTATTACAGACAAATATAAATACACACACACATATATATACATATTAGCTCTAAATATATATATATATATTTAGGGATTTTTAAAGAAAGGTATTGGAAAACCTCCCTTCTATAACAGATTACTACGTAGGAAATTTTTTTTGAACAGAACCTAAAGTTTTATACTGGACCATTTCCCTCAACATGTTCCTCTCTCCCCTGGAGGCTTAAAAAAAAAAAATGCTGTTTTATTATATAATGCCTCAAACGTGGATTCAATATTAAATTGCCTGTGATTGGGTTGTTACTTTCTTTAAATGGATCTGTTTCAAAACCTTAAATTATCTTCAAAGCTTTGTACAAACATGCAAATAATTCTTCATCCATTACACTCTAAGAGCAAAGCCCGATAAAAGAAAAATACTATTTATCTGCCTTGTTTTAAACAATCTCCATAAAATAAAATACTACAAAAAAACCCCACTATGTTCCAGGATTTAGTTTCTCTTCTATAACTATCCAGTTCCAACCTAAAGCTCATTTCAGAATATTTTTTTCTTCCTGGAGAAGAAATTCAGTATCAAAATACTGTAATAATTAACCAATTTTCCACCCCAACCCCATTTAACTATATTACAATCAAAGCAATTAAAATTGTAGTCAAGCTTTAATGCAAAAAAATGCAGCTATACTTTCTAGAGTCCACACTAATATTTTTAGTTTGTTCACAAATGTTAGCTCTCAGTCAATCTTTATCATCTCTAAAGAGCATGTTTCCTTGTGTCATTTTCAGGCACTTTTCCCATAACATTAAAATTAATTTTAATAAGAATATTTAGGGAACTTGATTTTTTTAATAATATTATCCTTGTTCTTAAATCAATGTAGATTAAAGTCTTAGGACCTTATCCTTATTTCTAGATAATATGATATGGATACACAGTCAAACAAACTAGAAACAATTTGGTCTTAAACAGATGTAGTCATCTATTATTGCCAGAATTATTCCAGGGTAAACTGCAACTTATTTACTAATTGTGAAAGCATATGCATTCTGGAATAGAAGAGAATCATCGAGATGTTCTCACATAAATGGTCAGATAAAACTCATTTTGGAGCTGATAACAGTCCATTGGATACAAATTGGCAACTAAAAAAAATTCTATTGAAGAAAATCTATACTTTGAGCCCAACACAAAACCATACAGTTAAGTACTTAACTACAACTCAAGATTCATATTCTCTCCCTACTGATAGCAAATACTGCAAAAATCATTTACATGCCACTAACCAGGAATAGAAATAACTTCATTACATGGTAAATAAGAGAATCAGAGTGGGATTTTGTTTATGCTTAAAGACAGTTATTTAGTTACTTCTTAGATATTCTTTTTCCAGTAGAAATATTTTACTTCCCTAAGAATAATTATTTATTTAACTTTTCTTTAAACATACTATTATACAACATTCAAACTTAATTGTGCATGAAAAACTATATCTGTTACAAAGTGTACACAAATAACCTGAGATTTAATTCATTTATGTATTAATGTAATGAGCAACAGTTAGATTTGTAGAAGCTTTCTTCAAGGAAGTAATACAACTTGATTTAAAGACTTAAAAAATATTATATAACGGAGACAATTAGTAGGAATTTTAGGAGCTAGGTTTTCTTCTCTTTTTTGAACACATGCTGATAAATAGGGAAATACAAGTCCATGAACACAGTTTTGGAAAATACTTGGAGAGGCCCATAACGCTGCTTCTCATCAGAATCAGAGAAAGATTCTATCTTCAAGGGGAGAGAGCTAAGGGTAGGGCCAACGGGGAATGCTGTGCTATTTGTTGTTGCAAGAGTGCACGCCTAATACAGAGCTACCCTTTGATCGAGGTCTCTGTATTCCTCATTGTCTGACCATTAATGTTTCAGCAGCAAATTGAACATATTGACTCATCCTTTTAGACTTACTCTTCTAATACTATTTTTGTAAAAGTCGTAATAACTCTTTTGTCAAATATACTAGCTTTAAAAGTTAATGTGTTCGAGGAAGCAACTGCTGCCACTGTATTCCTCCCTTCCAGTTCACAGCCAAACTTGTGATCATTCCAAGAAAGAACTGTATTGGCACGTTCTAGTTCCATGCTGACATGACATAAGTTCAAGTTCCAATCTGGATATTATCAATATATCTGCAGGTCACTTTAACTTCCTAGGTTTCAACACACCACAAAAGGAATGTTAATACCCATCTTACCTACTTTATTGTGAAGGAAATCCAGTTTCTACAATTGTTTCAGAATAATAACTTTAAAAGGTAAAAACTACCTCATTCATATCTTTAGACACTTCAGTTGTTCTTAGATGAAGCCCAAGCCCGTTAGCACAGAAGATTTGGCTTACTATGCCCCATCTCTTAAAATTATTTGCCATTTTCCTCTAAAGACCAGCCATACTAATTTTAGTTCTTGAAATTCTTTATATATATATATCCCATATCCCCTGTCTTAGGGCCTTTACACATGATGCTCTCACTGCCTGGAATATCCCTGCCCCTTCCCCAAGCCTTGTTTCTCCTCTTCCCCATGCTGGTTTTCTCCTCCTCATAATTTAGTACTCACTATATACATATGGGTCCCTGGTGGCACAGTGGTTAAGAATCTGGCTGCTAACCAAAAGGCTGGCAGTTTGAATCCACCAGCCTCGCCTTGGAAACCCTATGAGGCAGTTCTACTCTTTCCTACACGGTGACTGTGAGTCAGAATCGACTCGATGGCGATGAGTTTGGTCATACATATATAGGGTCTCTATGAGTTGGAATCAACTTGATGGCAAAGGGTTTGGTTTTGGTATGCATATCTAAGAAATTCACAGAAACTATTCAGGGTGACTCCAGTATAAATTATCTATGCAAGTCACAAATTGCCTTTTTGTTTTCTTTTTTCCCAAAGCCACTAATACATTGGTAGATGGCCTACTTATTAGAAGATGAGAAGTTTCTGTTCATTTCAGAAGATAGAAAGAGATTATCTGTACTTTGAAATCACCTTTTTTTCTGATTTAAATATTGAGTAGATTAATTACTTCAAATATGAAAAAAATTATCGATGTCCTTGTTAGAGAAAAAAAAAAAAAGAGAGATTCTATTTATTTCCCAAGAGCCATTTGTTCATTAGCTGAGTGACTTTGGACAATTCATAAAAGAATCACTGAGTCTCAATTTTTTTAACTTCCTTATAAATTACAGAATCCTAAAAATTGAAACTCAATTATAATAGATTCTGATGGTGAATGTTACCTATTCTGTTCATCTTAGAATTACACTATCTCCTGTGGAAAAAAGTTAAAACAAACAACATTTGGATTTTAATATGAAAACAAGTCCTCTATGGGGAAAAAAAACTTTCTGACATAATGAATTGTGATTGAATTTTCAGTTCTCTAAACTTACTTGCTACTATTGACAAGCCACTCTGTCCCTTTACTCCATGAAAATTTTGGTTTAGGTGCAGCTTTAGGTTTGCATTCAATTATAACCCTTCCTCCTTTAGCAGCCAAGATCTTTTTCTTCATAGGATTCATTTCAAAAGTAGGAGCCAGAGCTGAAAGGAAAACAAATTATTATTTTTCTCTTTTGTTAAAAAGAAAAAAAAAATACAATTTCCCTCTGATATAGTATCTATCTTTTATTCCCTTTTTGATTAATAATCTATAGAAAGGGTTAATCTCACCAAATATTATCAGCCATGACTAGTCAACATTTCATGCCTAATATAATACTTTTTATTTTATTTAACAACTCTATTGAGTTATATTTTACATATCATAAAATTTGCCCATTTCAAATGTACAATACTTTATGATAATTGGATTAAATATTATAAACTTTAGTCATAATAAAATGTTGTATATCCATACATTTACCCTGAAATTTACATCTGATTCAATTATTTTATCTCAATTACACAAGGGAAGTTAAAAAGAGAGGCTGGAGGGATTGAGTACTAATATGAACACTGACATAAGGTCATGGTCAGTCCTCTCAGCCACATTTGAATTATGTGCTACTATCTCCAATTTAGGAATTCCCCAGATGGCACAAACAGATAAGCAAAAGGTTTGTGGTTTGAACCCACCCAGAGTCATCTTGGAGGAAAGGTCTGTGATCTGCTTCTGAAAGGTCACAGCCTTGAAAACCCTGTAGAGTTCTACTCTGCAACATATGGGGTCACGTTGAGTCAGAGTTGACTCCACAGCAACTGGATATATACATATATATCTTATATCTTTAATCTTAACTATAGATGTTAGGAATAAACATACAAGAGCAGGGATAGCTGTTGATATCAAGTATCAGTAAAAGTGAAAAGGAATGAATATGAATCAGAGGTACAGGGATTATTTTTGGATAAGAAGGAGATATACAAGATATACTTCTTCCTCTAGGTGTAGAGTATTAAAAGGACAAGTGCAGTGAAGAGATAGTTTTGACTGAGGGATTGGAAGCTGAACTGTTTCATGCCAAAGGGTTTCAATTTTAATGGAGAAGCAAGATGGCAATATGAAAGGGGGAATCAGGGAGAAATAAGGGCTTGAGGAATATCCTGAAGGTTTGGAACAGTAACTGTAGAGCATGAGACTTGGGGACTGATAAAGCCAGAAAGTACTAAAGACTCATCTGATCGCATGCAGTGTTGTAACATCAATCTGCACTGTTACGTGATTCTGCACGCTGTGTTTACCTGCCCAGATATAGGAGAGTACCAGACTTGTATAAATTGATGTGCGTAAATTTTGCTTAATTATTTTAAAACAATGTTAAAAACCATTACACTCCATGTTGCCTCAAATTTATTATAGAGTTCAAACCACTCAGTTAAAAATAAGATGATGTTACAATTTAGTAAAGTAAGAACTTATGTGTAGTTGGAATTTCAACCAACATAAGAAAATTATAAAGCTACCATTTCTCTATTTAACATTCTTTCATAAAAGGAAAAACAAAGATATCAGTCCATTCCAGACCACATTTTAAAAGTTTTCAAGTTTAGCAACTGAAGAAAGTAACATGAAACCAAATATGATCTACAGATATCCTATGATCATTGTTTGTATGTGTGTGTGAATGCTGTTTTCTTGCTGAACGTTTAACAGAATTAAAGATGATACTGACCCAAGATCTTCAGCTCAGCATTTGCATAAATGGCACCATGTGTGTTTTCAGCTATGCACTGGTACATTCCGGCATTTTCAAAAGTCACATCATATAGTCTCAATTCTCCTTTATGATACTAAAAAGAACACAAAGTAAAACACATATTCTTCATAAACTTTAATTGAAACGCTTTCATTTAGGTTTGGGCTTGGTTATCTTTTAATTTAGATACACTATTTTCATCTGCCCCCACTGTGACCTAAGGCGAGTGAAGTGGGATTTCCATGGCATGGGGAAGTAAAACCCACTTACCATACCTGGTAGCTCTTGTTCTAGTCATCCTACAGAGCTGAGAGTCCACCTTTTTCCCTCTTGGCCCAGCTGGGAGATTACAGTGGGAAGGTAGTGAAGGATCCCACTGCTGCTACTTGTCCCCAGGGCTAAAGGTATGACTTAGAGCTGTGCTCTTACCTCTGTTTCTGTGGAGTTAGGGCAACAATGGCAAGAAAAAGAGGACAATATCAGGTAATGGAGACAGATGAGTAGGAAGAGGAGGAAAAGTGAAACAGGAAAAAATAAGGGAGAGAGAGAAGGTAGAGATAAGATTACAGAAAGTTGCTTAAGTTCAAGGAAGATACTTTATGTTCAGTTTTGTTTCAATTTTTTTAGGAAGCTTTTGTATTTCAGGGCCCAAGTATCCTTACTCTATTGCCTTTCATGCTAAATTTATCCCAGACCACCCTGAAATGTTGCCCAACATGTCAAGAACAACAAGGCACTTGAACAAACATACCGCATATCCATTTTTCAGCCATCTGATTGTAGGAATGGGCTTGCCTGTGGCCACACAAGGCCAGTAGAGATCACTGCCTATATCCACCTCTGTGTCATTGATATGTTCTACCCACTCAGGATATGCTAAAAAGTAAAGAACATGGTAAATGTCAAATGTGAGTCACAACATCTGTCATAATCTTGAGTATCAATATTACATTTAGTTAATCTTACACTGAAGAATGATACATCAGATATTGTTTGCATTCTGAAATCACTGTTAGAGCATTGGAATTGGATTTCCATAGATCTTCAGGTAAACTTTAATGAGGTAACTATAATCTAATTCATAATTATTTTCCTATTTGTGAACCATGTTTTATTGGAGAGCTAATTCATGAATTCATGTTTTTCTCAGAACATAAATTTTTCAAACTAATAACTGAGGTTTTAAAGAATTACAGCTTAATTGATTATGATACTGTCTCCTCTCTTTTTGGATAAATGTGTTTTTCTCCACTGCCTCAGGTATATATTCCTTTTTGATGGAACTTTGAGCTGGCTGACACTGTAATCTCCCACTGTAGAACTTGAAACATTACTTGGTCACTTAAATACCCTTACCATATTACAAACTACATACTGTGTAGTGACTATGATTGGTGAAATGCCTGCATGAGTGAAATTGATCTCAACCTCAAATTATTTGATCTGATCTACTTGACAGCCAAAGAGAAAATGCTAGGAAAATGAGAAAATGCTAGGAATTCCCCAAAAGAAAAAAAAAATTAAAGTTATTTCTAGAGTGCATGCAAGCAAACAATCTTTAAGACTTTTTGAGTATTTAAGTTAACTACTTCAAATGTTGTTGCTAGGTGCTGTCGAGTCATTTCCAACTCAGAGTGACCCTATGTACGACAGAACAAAATGCAGCCTGGTTCTGCGGCATCCTCAAATTAATTAATATAAAATAAAAAAGGGCATAGGAGGAGAAGATTCTGAGTGGAGGGTAGCCTTTTAATTTTCTTTGGAATTTACAAATTTTATTGTATTCATTTCATGACAAAAGTAACATACACATCTTACAGAAAATATTTAACATGCAGATAAATAAAAAGAATATAAGGCATTTTTATGAGTTCACTAAAGCCCGTCAACATTGCATATATTCATAAATATGCATAAGTATATACATATTTTATAGCATATGTAATCTGATTTAGTATTTTTTTTCCTTATTACATTTTCTTTGTAACATATGGAGATAATTCAAAAACATTGAATACTGGTGAATATAGTAATTGGTAGTGATTTTATTTTGTACACCATCTTAGCAATACAGGAATACAGGAATATCAACACCTTTCCTGCCTTGGTCTCACACAGGTGACACAGAGATGTCACATTACATAATACAATAATAAGAATAAACAATTGGATCATCTGGATGCATTGTCTATAAGGTTTAATTACGTGGCCTACTAGTGGTTGATTTGACTTAATAAAACTTAGAATGCCTTATTTGTAAAGGAGAAATAATAGTTCTTTTGAATTATCTCCTATAATTATTTGCTCTGTTACCTTGGTTCTTCAAAGGAATTAGATATTAGGCAGTTCAGAATTCTCTGAAACCTGGAGTGCAGTTTTCTTAACGTGTTGAATAAAAACAGATCTACAAGCTTTAGAAATCTGGTAAGACTAGTAGCTTTAATTAAAAGTTTAAGGGGTCTAAGCAGAATTTTCCTCCCCACAGGAGGCCATTCCATCTCTATAATGAAGTACAGGCGAAGTCAAGATTTTCCATAGAATACATCCTTGCATCACTGTCTCCTATGCTATCCTCCAGTAACTCTGAAGTGTTTGTGGCTCCCACACACACCATATGCCATGCCTTTTATTTTCATGCTTTTGCTTTCATTCTTTCAACAAACATTTACTGGGTACTAAAAATATGCCAAGCAGACTTCTAACTATTTAAGATACAGTAGTGAATAAGTTAGTAAAAGATTTCTGCCATCATGGTTCTTATAAATTGGAAATGACATAGTAGGAAATAATGAAAATTCAAACCTATGGTATACTAGAAGGAATAAATATTATGCCAAAAAGTAAGCAGCAAAGAAGGAGGGAAAATACTAGGGCAAGGGTGATATTGAAGTAGGCAATCAAGCGGTCAGCAATCCCGGCCCCGAGCTGACATGGAAGCAAAGTTTTGCAGGAGGCAAGGAAGCCAGTTGTGCCAGTATCCTTGGGGGTAGCATTCTGGGCAGCAGGAAGATGGGTGCTCTGAGTTGAGAGGGGATCTTGCATATTCAATGAACAGTGAGAAACCCAGTGTGGCTGAAGATAAGAGCAGAGAGATAGCAGCAGAGAGGATATCAGAGAGGGAACCGGGGCCAAGGAGATCATTTGGGTCCTTTTAGGCCTATAAAATGATTCTGGCCTTTACTTTGAAGGAGAGTTTTTAATTTAAGCAAAAAAGAGCCACGATTTGACTTAAGTTTTTTAAAACATCTGTCTGGCTACTGGGTTGAGAATTAACTGTGGGAGAAAGGGGACAAAGTGGAAAGCTGGAAGACCTGTTAATATACTATGTCAATAATCCAGGAAAGAGATGATGTTGAAATGCATCAGGGGATAGCAGTTTAGGTAGTAAGAAGTGTCATATTTCCACATATATTTGAGAGTGGAGTGATAAGATTTCTTGATAAATGAAGTATGGGGCATGAGAGAAAGAGAAAAATCAAGGACAAGACCAAAGTTTTTGGTCTGAGCAACTGAAAAGACAAGTTGTCTTTAACTGTTATGAACAAGAGTATAAAAAATAACAGATTTAGAGAAAGATCTGGATTCCATTTTGTCCTTAAGTTTGATAAGTTAATGTTGTCAGGGCAACTCTGGAGTTCAGGGGGAAGAGATGGCTGAATTTTCAGCATGCAAATAATATTTAAAGCCATGAGCATGAATGAGATCATAATGAGTTCACTGAAATAGAGATGAGGCTGAAAGACCAAATTTTTAGCACTCAAATGTTAAAAGGGCATGGAGTTAAGGAGGAGAGAGCAAAGGAGAATGAGAGTGGGGTACAAGGAAATTAACAAAGTATGGGCTTGCTTCCTGAAGCCAGGTATAAAAACTAAATCTTGGAGGAAAGAGGGGTTAACCATGTGCACTGCTGCTGGTAGATCAGATGAGATACAAGTGAGAACTGACCATCAGCTTTAGCAGCATGGCAGTTGTTTGGTGACGTAGAAAAGAAAGGTTTAATGGTGAAGTAGAAATGAAAATCAAATTGGAGTGTGTTTAAGAGAGAATAGAAATTAGACATAAATTTTTAGACAGTATAGGCAAATCTTTCAAGATTAAAAAAAAATTACCTTTTTGGGTGGATAAGAAGAAGAGAAATGGGGCTGTAAGCTGGAGTTGAAAAGAGTTTTAAATACAGAAGAAATAAGAGACACTATATGCTGACAGGAATGATCCAGTGAAGAGTAAAAATTGCTTATGCTGTGGAGAAGGCAGACTTGCTGGGGCAATATTGTTAAGCAAGAGGGGTAGAATCTGGCACACAAGTAGAGGTGGTGGCCTCAAAGTGGCTGAATCTACAGTAATAAGAGATATGCGAGGAGGTGCAGTTAATGAATGGATGTGGGGTGAGTACTTATAGACATTCTCATTTGATTACTCTCATTTTCTCTGTGAAATAGGAAGCGAAGTTATTGGCTGAGAGTAAGGATGCAGGAGGAGGTGTTATGGGTTTGAGGAAAGGGGTGAAGGCATGAAACAGTCATCTAAGAGTGAAAGAGTAAGTGGATGAGTGAAATGACATATAACTGCCAGGCAACATTAAGGATCCACTTAAAGTTAGTCATCATTAATTTAAAATAGACATACTGTAAAACAGCCTGGTACTTGTACAACAACAGATACATAGACCAATGGAACAGAATTGAGAATCCAGACATAAATTCATCCACCCATGAGCAGCTGATATTTGACAAAGACCCAAAGTCTGTTAATTGGGGAAAAGATAGTCTCTTTAACAAATGGTACTGGCATAACTGGATATCCATCTGCAAAAAACTGAAACAAGACCCATACCTCACACCATGTACAAAAACTAACTCAAAAGGGATCAAAGACCTAAATATAAAATCAAAAATGATAAAGATCATGGAAGAAAAAATAGGGACAATGCTAGGACCCCTAATAAATGGCATAAACAGAATATAAACAATAAGTAACAATGCACAAGCACCAGAAAAGAGACTAGATAACTGGGAGCTCTCAAAAATGAAACACTTATACTCATCAAAAGACTTCACCAAAAGAATAAAAAGACAACCTACAGACTAGGAAAAAATTTTTGGCTATGACAAATCCAATCAGCATTTAATCTCTAAAATCTACAAGATACTGCAAAACCTCAACAACAAAAAGACAAATAACCCAATTAAAAAATGGGCAAAGGGTATGAACAGGCACTTTGCCAAAGAAGACAGTCAGGCAGCTAACAGACACATGAAGAAATGCTCACAATCATTAGCCATTAGAGAAATGCAAATCAAAACTACAATGAGATACCATCTCAGTCCAACAAGGGTACCATTAATCCAAAAAACACAAAATAATAAATGTTGGAGAGGTTGTGGAGAGACTGGAACACTTAACAAACACTGTTGGTGGGAATGTAAAATGGTACAACCACTTTGGAAATTGATTTGGCACTTCCTTAAAAAGCTAGAAATAGAAGTACCATACAATCCAGAAATCCTGCTCCTTGGAATATATCCTAGAGAAATAAGAGCCTTCACACAAATAGATATATGCACACCCATGTTCATTGCAGCACTGTTCACAATAGCAAAAAGATGGAAACAACCTAGGTGCCCATCAACAGACGAAT